TTACCATCCTATCATTGACAGTAGAGATGAGTTTATTCTTGACAATTTCGTCTGGCCGTTTGACAAATATAGAATTTGTAACTTTATCGATAATCGATTGACTCCTCTCGGGCTCATTTATTTTCTGATAGCAATATTGTAAACCAATATGAGATTCCTCTTTCTTGACTACAAGATAATGATTGTCATTTGCTAAATAATATTTGGCACATTGATAGTATAATTCTACGTCCGTATTATTCCATTCCTTTAAACATGAAGATAACAAGCAATAATAAATTCCATCTGGAAGATATGGAATATCTGTATGCTCGTATCCGATGTAGAGCCAATCTGATTGATGATATTTTGATAAATCAAATGGCTTAACATCATATCGTAACAAATATGGAACAAAGTATTGACATTCTTCGCCGTTGTCGTTCTTCTCATTTGTAATTGAACATAGAATATCATAAGCATGCATGAGTGCCAATATAGTTTGCTTACTATTGTCATCTAAATTAAATTTATAAATAGCATGATCAATGTATGATCTTGATAATTTTCCTCTTTGGCTTGCTATCTCATAGTCACGTTTTATCTGTGCACCTCCTTGTACAAAATCTTGTAATTGAATAATAGAACGAAATATATTTAATAACCAATCGACATTAGTTATAATAATTCCGTCGTCGCCTACTTTATCACAGTAGATGACTTCTCCTAAATCGTGTAGATACATTAGCATAGCGATTAATTCATCATGGTTTTCATATAATCCGTATTGTTGAGACAAGTTTACTATTTGTTGCATTGTCATAATATTATGCACTTGAGAATGTCTAATTTGATTGATAATAGAAGATGCGGGTTGATTGTTACTGTTAGTAGGGAGCGATTTATTTAATATTCTAGCCATGATATACCATCGAATAGGTATAGGATTCGTAATAAATGGCAGCGATTGTACAAATGCCTTAATGATACCATGTAAACGAAGACAACATTGTCGACGCTGCTCTAGTGTCGACGGAGTACTATCAAGAGGATTGCAATTAAAAATAATACCAGAAGAATAGATATGATTGGCATAAGAAGGCATGCGAGACGTCAATGTAGACACAAATTGATTGAATCGAGTACGTCCATTTTCTTCATTGATAATACAATCGCCATGAGAAGCTACTAAAATAATAATAGGTAATGAATGCTGTGAAGGTGGTAAATGCTGTTCATCTTCACTTTTAATGTTGACATTGATGGTACTTTGGCTTCTATGGCCAGCTATGATTGATGTAAGCCATTCTTGCATAGCTTGTAAATACGTCGTTTTGAGTAATTGGTTGTTCCTTGTTGTTACCTTGTCGTTAATGTCTTGATTAATATTAAATACTAAAATATAAATACTATTGACGGAGATAAAGGGATAATGAGTAAGATGATAGACGGCATGACCTGCGAAATCCCATATTTTAACATACTGATTGTTTTCGTCTTTGTCTGCATTTTGATTTTCTATTGGATCTATGTCGGTTACTTGCTGACTGATGTTATCTTGACTATTGATACTTGTTTGGGCTAACTGTTGTATGACTGTCTTGACTTTATCGTCTAGTATTTCAGTCCAATCACAACCCTCTAAGTTACGAATATTATAATATTCGGTCTCTACCATAATATCCAAATTCTCAGCCACTTGTGTCGGAGATGGATTGTCTAGTGGTTGCTTGGTAAATATTTTTCGAACAGAAGTTTTGCCCACATTGCGAGGACCAATGAACATGCCTCGTATTAAATGATTAAAGCAATGACCATGTTTTAATGCTTTGCTATATGCATTGTAATATTTCTTTTCTTGCAAAGCTGTAGAACAACAAAATACAGAATAGGGTTACGGTTATCCATCGCTCTCTCGTCTACTACTGTATTAAAACTCCAATTACCTTTCTCTTGTACGTGTTGATTGTTATGACTGCCGTCAATAGTATTTGCTGGCGCTGTAACGTTGTTGATTTGATTCGGTTGAAACCGTTCAACGGTACTTTTGATCCAATTTCTCGCTGTTGATGTCGACGATTTCGGCTTCCGGAGAGTGATATCGATATTCTTTTTGGTCCATTTAACTAGGCGATCATTTCCGCTTAAGGTTGCGATATACAGTGACTTCTTAAAGTTATCCACAGCCTGATCGTACTTGCCTTGGCGACGATAGACAAGTCCTATGTTGTTATATGACTTCGCAACGTGGGGATGATTGTGACCAAGGACTGACAATCGAATTTGCAGTGATTTGTCATACATATCCACAGCCTGATCGTACTTGCCTTGGCTTTTATAGACATTGCCTATGTTGTTATATGAGTTGGCAACATCAGGATGATTATGACCAAGGACTGACAATCGAATTTGCAGTGATTTGTCATACATATCCACAGCCTGATCGTACTTGCCATGGTGACGATAGACAACTCCTATGTCGTTATATGAGTTGGCAACATCAGGATGATTATAACCAAGGACAGCCAATCCAATTTGCAGTGACTTGTGATACATATCCACAGCCTGATCGTACTTGCCTTGGCTTTTATAGACATTGCCTATGTTGTTATATGAGTTGGCAACATCAGGATGATTGTGACCAAGAACTGACAATCGAATTTGCAGAGATTTGTCATAAATATCCACAGCCTGATCGTACTTGCCTTGGTCATCATAGACAAGTCCTATGTTGTTATATGAGTTGGCAACATCAGGATGATTATGACCAAGGACAGCCAATCCAATTTGCAGTGATTTGTCATACATATCCACAGCCTGATCGTACTTGCCTTGGCTTTTATAGACATTGCCTATTTTGTTATATGAGCTGGCAACATCAGGATGATTGTGACCATGGACTGCCAATCCAATTTGCAGTGATTTGTCATACATATCCACAGCCTGATCGTACTTGCGTTGGCTTTTATAGACATTGCCTATGTTTTTATATGACTTCACAACATCAGGATGATTGTGACCAAGGACTGACAATCCAATTTGTAGTGACTTGTCATACATATCCACAGCCTGATCGTACTTGCCTTGGTCATGATAAACAAGTCCTATGTTGTAATATGAGTTGGCAACATGGGGATGATTGTGACCAAGGACTGCCAATCCAATTTGCAGTGACTTGTGCAACATATCCACAGCCTGATCGTACTTGCCTTGGTGACGATAGATAACTCCTATGTTGTTATATGAATTGGCAACATCAGGATGATTGTGACCAAGAACTGCCAATCGAATTTGCAGCGACTTGTCATACATATCCACAGCCTGATCGTACTTGCACAAGCGATCATAGACAACTCCTATGTTATTGTATGACCACGCAACATCGGGATGATTATGACCTAGGACTGACAATCCAATTTGCAGCGACTTATCATACATATCCATAGCCTGATCGATCTTGGCTTGGTCATGATAGACAATTCCTATGTTGTTATATGACTTCGCAACATGGGGATGATTGTGACCAAGAACTGACAATCCAATTTGCAGTGACTTGTTATGCATATCCACAGCCTGTTCGTACTTGCACAAGTCCCAGTAGACGCACCCAATTTGATGATAACTATCGGCAAGACGAGCATCCTTTTCGTCTAACCATTTTAATTTCATTTCCAACGATTTCTTACCGTCTTCCAGTGCTCCGTTGAAATCCCCTTGGCGTCTCTTAATCTCGCTTTCTCTTTGTAAACATTGAGCCATGCTCACTTCATCTTGCAGTTTAGTAGCCACAGTTTGTCCCTTATCACTCCATTCAACAGCTTCCTTGAATTGATATTGTAAAGTGTAAATGTCACAAAGACCAAGATAAATATCACATGCAAGTCGATCAATATCCGCACTAGGATTCGACAACGAAGCAATCGCATCGACAGCTTGTGTATAACAAGATAGTCCGTCCACCAACTGGAAGGCAGTCTTGCATGAGATGCCCTTTTCGTACAGTGATTGTATACGGGTATGGTGAGGAAGCACACTCGTAGAACAGACAGATTCATCATCAGCCATCTTTTCCTGCACTCAATTCAAAAATATGTTAGTTAAAGACTTGAACGACAGGTTAGAGACAAATAAGATTCAAATCAAGCTTCGTTGCAACCATTAATTGCTAATCATCGGATCGATATTATCTCTGCGTATTAATGAGGTTATGTCGGAATAGTTGTACTTGCGTGCCAGTCGTAGTTCAACAGAACAACATCAATTATTCCATTATACACAATTTTCAAGCATCAATAAATCAACTTCTACAATATTGCCTATCTATTCCGCATGGAAGATTATCCGAAAATCATTCAATCAATCTCTGTAGATAATTACTGAAGACAACGCTATCGGACAATCGTGTGCTTACGTGTACATTAACAAAATGCACTCCAGCTTACAAATAGATTATACTCATAATCATAATAACCATCAAACAACAATCTTTTTATTCTAATAGA